GCAGAATCGAAAACTGTAACCGTAGACGATATAGATTGTAAGGAAAGTGTGAACAGATCGGATGTAATTTGCAAGGAGATCGATGGTTTCCGTTGGATCGTGGTGCAGATGAGAACAGATTCGCGGCAAAACTTCAATCGAAGTTGGGAAGAGTATCGCAAAGGATTCGGAGACGAGCGCAACTATTGGATTGGCAATGAACTTTTGCATGATCTGACAAAGAACGAAAGCAACAACAGCAACAACTCGGTGCTGAGAGTGGAACTGGAGGATTGGCGAGGTAACAAGGCGTGGGCCGAATACGCTGATTTCTCCGTCGACTCAGAGCCGAACAAATACAGACTGAACGTTGGAAAGTTTCGGGGAAACGCGAGCGACGGCCTCTCCAGCCACAACGGCTCCCTCTTCAGCACGTACGACGTTAAGAACGACGAAGCTCCGGAATGTTGTCCGTGCGCCTCGGCGTACGGAGGAGGCTGGTGGTTCAACAGGTTTGCATCGTTCCGTTTTCAAAGTCAGGGCTAATATTTGAGGGATGTTTGAATAAAAGACCAAATGTTGCGCTGTTCGAGAATGCAAGTTATATTATAATTTGCTTATTCTTGCTTGCATTCCGTGCCTAATCTTTATTGTATCGCGCATTTATTCAAGGCTTGCATCGCACGCACGCCTGACATTATTACGCAACCAGTCGGACGCGGCGGAGCGAGGATTGCGACCATGTAATTATTGTTGTTGTTGTTGAACGTGTTGCAGCTGCTTCGAGGCTAATCTGAACGGGATGTACCGCGACGTTTCGGAGGACGCCGGCTACTACGGAGGCATCATCTGGGAACCGTGGTTAGGCAACTACTCGCTGAAGAGGAGCGAGATGATGGTGCGAAGGTTGCCTTACCGAAGGGGCACAGACGTTCCAGAGGACCCCTAATCATATCACACATCAATGCCAAATAAAATAAAAGAAATTAAATAAAACCAACGGTATACAATAAAATAGAACGTTTCTCTTGCATACAGAATAATAAATTAAGGAAAACGAAGATTTAAAAGAAAAAAAAAACTTAACAATTAAAAAAATCCCTTAATACCGAATGAAAATTAATAGCAGAATAGAATATATGTGTCTATGTATAAATATATATATATATATAGTTTTTGTATGTATGCATGGTCTAGTACTCTTTTGATTAATAAAAATATAATCGAAATCTTTCAGAGATCGCCAATTCTTTGTTTGCCAACGTCAACCTTTCTTTTGTGTGTATCTCTTTGAGTATTATTGAGCTCGAACCATAAAACCCGGCGTATTGCACAGATGAATCGTGTGTGTGATGTTTGTCTTCGTAGTCGTCCATTCAATTCCTCCTAGTCCATCTCTTGGCACAAAATAAAAACGCTTGAATCTTCAGAACGTAAAATGAAAAATAGGAGTTTTTCTCTTTGCTGTTGCGGCTGCTGCTGCTGTCGTTATTGTTGTTGTTGTTTCGTTATTGTTTTATGTGAGCAACGTTGGAGCACCGGTGGAGAACGGTTCCGAATTGGTGTTGATGACGTGCACCTGTTCGCCCTTGCTTCCGTTGTAGATTTGGCCGGCGCTGAATGGCTCCAATCGCGGATGCAGCAGCTCATTCTTACCGTAATCGGTGTTGCCAAAATCTGCCGGAATGTACTTGGAGAGCCGAACCAGAGGCAACGGCAGGAATCCACTGTTCAGCGGCATCACGTCCAGCACGACCGTCTCCGCATCAGAGTCGGACTCGAAGGAGATGACTCCCGCAGTCCGACCGCACACCGCCCAAACGCTCGGCTCGGCCAACACCTCGTACATTAGAGAGCTGCCGCCGTGGAAGCTGTGCGCGGCCGCACTCACCGACACGTGCAGATGACAGACGGTGCCGACGCGACAAAACTCTGATCCCTTGGTCGGCTCCACCTTGGCGCGGATGTGGTACAGAGTCTGGTAGTTGGACAGTTCGAACGGGTAACTGTACTCACGACACTCTTCGACGCTGCCTTTTTCATCATCATCATCATCATCATCATGACCACTACCACCCATCGCGTACCGCAGCCGAAATTCTGCCTTCAACGGAATCGACTCCTTCTGCGCCCTCACCAATATCTCGTACGTGAATGACACGCTCATACCGTTCGGGAGAACCTACAACGTGCAATAAACACTAAAAATAAAAACAACAACAACAAAGAAAACCTTCATCTTCATAACTTACTTGAGCGCCGACGGACGAATGGAACGGGACGACTTTATTGTCGGAGACGGTGAGGCTGCTGTCGCCGATGCTGAGGTCGCGATCGCATTGACCGACGACGGTGATCTGCACGTACTTGCGATGTTTAACGGTATGCAGACGCCAGGAAATCTTCAGAGGCGGTGCAAAGCTGAGTGTGACTGGAAGCGACTTGCTGCTCCACGGACAGATGATGGTGACCTGGTGATCCTTGGATGGTACCTCGGCGAGTACGCGGATCGATGCGACAGTTGTGGAGTACGGTCGCGTCTCTTCTATAGTGATCTCCAAACTGTTGCCGAATTCGCCGCCGTTGACGACATCACCGCATATGGACAACCCCGAGGATGACTTTAACAGCACCTTGATCTTTTCACCCTTCTGAACAAATCAAATTGTTATTTAATATTTATACAATTAATCTGTAATGTGCTGAATGTATATATACCGTTTCGATGGCGTAACTTCCGATGGTGACCGAGAGCGTCATGATTTGTTCGATGTCGGAGAGGAGGGCGGCCTCGCCTTTGTCCAGTCGGACGCTTGGTTCTTCGCGCAGCACCTCGTAGCAGAGTCTGGGCGTTAGCGAAACGGAGATGAGCTCCATCAGGTTGATGTGTATGGCCACCTGACCCAGGTAGAACTTGCCCACCCTTTCCGCCCTTCCGCTCAGACGTACGACGTTCATGCCGGGTGTAATCACGAACGGTGTCTTTCCTGTGTCCAGGAAGTCGTTGAACTCGCTGTGGTAGACAGGACTGACGTTGCTGTCGGCTCTCTTCAGCGGGGCGTTCCTGCAGACGACGCTCGCGCTAGACAGCTGCTTGTTCTCCTTGTAATCGAGATGCCGTTGGATGCGCAACCGCTGCAGCAGAGCGTCCTGCTGCCGCACGTCCTTCCCCGTGATGACGCTACTACTGCGTCGACCCCTTTTCTGAGCCGTCGCCGCATCCTTGGCGTCCGCCTCGACGGCTATCATCGCCTTGGCGCACACGATCTCACGCGGAAAGTTCGACTCGACGATCAGTTCGATCTCCACCTGCGAATCCTGCATGACCTCGATTGCGGTGGCGGACGATTTACTGGCGGCACCTCCGACTATGCGAACGCTCTCTATCCGCAGGATGTTCTTGAAAGGCACTATGAGCGTTCGGTCGAGGCCGAGCAGACTGTTCTGCATCTCGTCAAAGTAACTCCAACGGATCAGGTTGTCTATTTCGGAGGCGGCGGCGATGGCGGCGCACGCCCTCACGTATTTCCGAGTGTCGCCCGCCTTCCTGTAGCATTCGGCAAGCTCGACCTGACTCTGCGCCGCCAGATCGCGCCAATTGTCCTGCTCGAAGGTGCGCAGTGCGTCTGTGAGGAAGGCAGCGGCCTTCTGCACCTCCCCCAGAAGCACGTAGAACGAGGCCACCTCCCTTCCGACGAGTCGGGCCGACCTGAGACGTCCGATGTGTTTGTACGTGCACATCGCAAGTTCGGCCAGCTCCAGGTAAGTCTTGTTGAAGGACGTTTGCGAGCGCAGAGCCTGTTTCAGAATGTCCGTCGGCGATGGTGATTCCGGTTTACCCGGACAATCGCCCATCCCGGCCGACAGATAGACGACGGCGTGCAGCTGATCCGAAGTGGGCGTCCTCCCCGGCATCAGACCACACAAATCGCCCAGACTTCTTAACTAAAGCAGCAACAGTAGAAGAACAACAGATAGAGAGATTGATTGATCGATTGATTGAGGCGGCAACTCACCTTTTGACTAGCGTAGGCCCAGAGGCAGGCGGTGTGCAACGAGTAGGCCTCCACCTGATCCGCCTGGTTGTGACGGTTGCACGTGTGAAGCACCTCCAATGAGGCGAGGAAGAGCCAGCAGGCGACTGCACCCGGCGGTGCCGAGATCTCCAGCAGCAGCAGCTCCCTAGAGCAGGCGTGCAAAAATGGCAAACAACGGGATGCAACCTAACAAATAGTCAATTATCATAATCATAATGGAGAGAAGAGAGAATAGAATGAATGACTTGCCTCCCAAACTTTATTCGTCAGCAGCAGCATGTGTGCCTGCTTCGAATAGAGGTAAGCCCTGAGCTCGAGCAGAGATGGCGCCGGTTCCGTGGGGAGCGCGCAAGGTCCCAACTTGAGGGCGTGCCACCTCTCCAGCGACCGTTGAAATTCGCTCAACCAACCGGAACCGGTAGCATCTCCGGACTGACCGTTCACCACGAACTGCGAGAACAGTGCGTCCAGCTCGTCGTACTGCACCAGCGCTTCATCGTACAACCCGAGCATCTCCAACACCTGCGCCAATTCTTCCTGGAAAATAAAAAAGAAAACACGCAACAACATGTATTCGTATTGCTATGTACTCGCTATGTGCGCATCTGTACCTGCAATTTGAAGTAACCCATGAAATTCCATCCGGGCTCGTTTCGTCGTTCGCGCTGCTGCCGAACGTAATCCTCCAATTTGGACACGGCTCGACCGTAACTCGTGAGCAGCAGGTGCCTGATCCTTGCGACCAATCCCCGCCATGAATCCGCATTTCGCGACTCCTCCCTGCCCGGATTGAGCACCGAAATGCAGCGATCGCCTGCCAAAAAAAATGAGGCATGAGCACCGTAGGCAACCAAACGCGCACCGAAATTGCATTTTTCCAACTATTGGACCGTAAGTAATAATATTCACCCTGCTTGGTGGCGAACTCCGTGCGAATCTTATCTAGCACCGTGGTGCGAGGTAACAATTTGTTGGCGCGCTTTCCATCAAAATTCTCGACCACCACAATCAGCCAATCAGGGATGTCTTTGGCTATGAGCTCCTTCAGCCACACTTCAATCTCGTCCCTTATAGTTGTCTTGTACTGATCCACATCCTTCAAACATCATCATGGTAAATTAAATAATCGATAAATTAATAATAACAATACATTGCATTCAGTCCAGAAGATGTGAAACAGCGGTTGTCTAATTAGATCCCATTGGTTGATCCTGGGTAGGGCTGCCTGATTGTAAGGTGTAAATGTGGCCGATATGTGAACAGATCTCGCTGGTCTGCCCAGAGATCTCCTCCATTCGCACACCTCCTGAGGCAGCGCCACTGACAGCCTGTCCTCAATGCATGAGAAAAGTTCCACCTCCCCGGCACCTGCAAACCATCAATCATCATCATTAAACACAAACCGCTCACGTTGCTGCAACCAATATATAATCACATGTGATGATCGGACGTCTGTCTTGTATCCCCGGGGCTGACGACTCTTCTTCGTTCGCTCCATTCATATTTCTTCTCTCGCGTACAATTTATTTGTTTTCCCACCTTCCTCCTCCTCCTACTCCTATCGCATCACAATTTCTTCCTCCTATTGATTCCGTGATGTATCCTTAACACAAAGTCCCACATCACTGGCGACAGGCATCTTTTCAAAAAATTGGGGGCGACATCGAACACAAAAAATACATATATATATATATATATGTATGTATGTATGTGTATGAATCCGACACACTCAAAAACACTGTCAAACTTTTGACGGTTGANNNNGGCTTTTTTTTTTCATCTTATTTGAATCGAGTACCAATTGTTAAAATGAAATAATTATCATCTACCTTATCTGCTTATTTTTTTTCCCATTAGATACAAGACAAGGGGAAATTTTTAATCACTTGACCTTTCCAACCTAACCGCATTTAATTTAAACTCTGGGTATATAAGTGAGGGGCAACAGGAATTTATGTTTTAGTATTGTCATTTTATTTTAGTGTTCAATTTTTTGTAGTCTATTTTGTTTTGGTCATTTCACCTGTACGATTGAAGGTAACGTTGATCAATTTTTTAATATAATATTTTCTAATCAATTTTCGTATCGCAGTGTGCTTTCTGCCCTCATAGAAAAAATGCCAGTGAATACAAATGAAATAATTTATGCGATAAGGCAGCTTTCGGATGCAAAGAATTTGGAGGTGACAGTCATGGAGAGTGGGAAGGGAGCCTGCATAGCAGCAGCATGCACGTTTGCAGGTGGTCTGCTGGCTGGACCAATTGGACTGGGTGTTGGTGAGTTGGATGTGAGAAGACAGACAGTGTGTTGTTTAACTAATTGGAAATATATATTTGCAGGTGGAACTTTGGGGGCGATTTTCGCTGCTTACAATGGTTCTGGCAAATTCAAGTCCGTGGGTGAGGTGATAATGGAAATGACACCAGCGCAGAGGACCGCTCTGGCGGAGTCCGTGATGAAGGTGATACACGATGTGGATGGCAGAGATTTGGCGATGCTCGCCACAATCATCATGACGAACAATTCGCTGCAGGCTGTGGTCCTGCGACAGGTCACCCAATTCTTCAAAAACGAGATGGGAATGACGATTAATTGACTGCCGTCTCAACTCCACTTGTCCACATATTGTCTGTACATATTTTATTCAAATTGTATCGTTTCTTTAAGCAGTCATCCAATCCAATCAACTCGAGAATATATATACATTTTATACAAAATTGCTCCATCTATTTTAAAATATCCCTCAATCTCCTCAGGATGTAGGCAACTCAAGTTGATCTGGAGATGCAACCTTTGTTACATAGTGCCTGGATTTTGACGTTTCTCCATTTATTTACGTGTCGTCGTCGATGGTGGTGGAGGTGGTCGTTTTCCTAGATGTGTGTGTGTGTGTGTGCTTTTTGATCTCTCGATATAAGATGAATTGAATCACAAGTGTCTGCTGGATTGTTTCCCTCCTTATCTGAATAGCAATAATTAATTAATAATGGGCAATTGTTATCGCTGGTGCGTCGACACGTGAACACCTTCAAACATAGAGTAATAGTAGTAGTAGTAGTATAAGAGATTTAGAGAGGAGCAGCAGCAGCAGCAGCAGTAGCGAAACATGACTCTGACTGTGGTTCGTATTATTGTAAAGCAATAAGAATTGTTGATAATGTTGTTGTTGTTGTTGTTCTCGTTGCAGATCATAGGTTAACTAAAAGAAAGATAAGAAAGCACAGCAAAGTGCTGGGCAACCTGCAGCCAGCCTGACTATTATCCAAATGATGCGAATCAAACGCACCTCGTACTGCTTCATAGCCACGTTCATATTGTCGTGGATTTTCCTGCTCTACTTCACGTTCGCCAATCGGCCGGTGAACGTGACGGTTGCAGGCAATGGGGGTGGTGGTGGAGGTGTTGTTGTTGATTTGGGCAACGAAGGTATTATTGATAATAACTTGCAGAAACTTGAGGAGGGCATTGACAGAGAGTTCAAGCGTAATAAAGATATGTTGAATAATTTGCACAGGTATTTGGATAGTAGGAAAAGGGTTGCTGAGAAGGAGGAAATGATGGTTGTTGTTGATGGAAATGGAAATGGAGGAAAGGCCAAGAAGGGAATTGTCATCCCTGTGCTGGTGTTTGCCTGCAACAGGGTGAGCGTGAGCAGGTGCTTGGATCAGCTGATCCAGTACAGACCTGACCCAGATCAGTTTCCCATCATTGTGAGCCAGGTAAGAAGAGCCAGCAAATACAAATTGTGACGGGAGGATGATACGTGGATACGCGGTGTGCTTGTAGGATTGCGAACATCCGGAGACGACCGAAGTGATAAATCGGTACGTGCCGCAAGTGTCGCTAATAAGACAGCCGGATCAGAAGGAGATCGAGGTGCCGCCGAAGGAGAAAAAGTTCAAAGGATACTTTAAGATCGCTCGGCATTACGGGTGGGCGTTGAGCGAGATCTTTTTCAACTTTAACTTTGACGCCGTGATCATCGTGGAAGGTACGTAGGATGAATAAAAGATGATGATGAATAAAAGTTCATGATGTGTTTCGTGTGTCGCAGATGATTTGGACATTGCGCCCGACTTTTTCGAGTACTTCCTCGGCACATATCCGTTGTTGCAAAAGGACCCGACGCTCTGGTGCATTTCGGCGTGGAACGACAACGGCAAGACCGGACTCATCGATCCGAAGGCGGCAGACGTCCTCTACCGCACCGACTTTTTTCCCGGTCTCGGTTGGATGATGCTCAAATCGTTGTGGACGGAGCTGCAACCGAAATGGCCCAAATCGTAAGCCGAGATGTTCAAGAATATAATGATAATATTATTAATGTTAAAAATTAAAAACAAAAAAGGTATTGGGACGATTGGATAAGGCAGCCGCAGCAGAGGAAGGAACGTGCTTGCATCAGGCCGGAGATCTCGAGGACGCGCACTTTCGGCAAGATAGGCGTCTCGAAGTGAGTTCGTTAATATGAATTGAATCCGTATATTAGCGAGTCATTCTTTGCAGTGGTCTATTCTTCGAGAAGCATCTGAAGTACATCAAGCTGAACGAACAGTTTGTGCCTTTCACGAAAACCAATCTAAGTAATTTGACGCGCGACGCATACGACGATCAGTTCATGCGAAAGGTCTACCAGAGTCCCGTCGTAAGCTACCAGGAGCTGAAGGAGGGTCGAGTCGCCAGAGATGGGCCCGTCCGCATCGTTTACTACAACAAGGACGCGTTCAAGAGGACCGCCAAACTGCTCGGTCTGATGGATGACTTTAGGGTGAGGATTGATATTTGCGTATTTTACGTTCAACGAACTGCAATTTCTTTCGATTCCTCAAATAGAGCGGAGTACCAAGGACAGCGTACCGAGGCGTCATCTCGTTCTCGTACAAGGAACGTCCGGTCTTCCTCGCACCGAATTTGAATTGGAAGGGATACGATTTGGGCTGGAGTTAACGTGAACGTTCCTACCACACCTCCTCCTCCTCCTCCTCCTGATCTTTTACGCTTTCTCTTTCTTTTGTTTACATTAAACAATAACAACGTCGACTCTAGACGACGCATTCCATTAATTCCTAAGAGTACTCGCGCTTATACACAAACTCTTACTTCCTTCATCCATACATCTATGCGTCGTGCATAGATGTATGGATGGATGGAGGTAGCCATCATCATCATCGTGTTCCGTTTGTGTGTCTTCAAAGCTCTTCCATCCGCGTGTAAATAGTTCGCATCACGTTTGTTTCATACCTGAATCCAAACACCAACCTGTTATGTACATATTCTTTATTATGTCTGTCTGTCTGTCTATCCATCCCTTTGTTATATAATATTCCTCACATTCTCTTGCTCGCTCGCAAGAGATACGTTTTATTTGGTTGTTTTGTCTCTGAGCACCACCACCACCACCATATTGAGCCCATCCTCATCACCCGTATTCATCCTCATCGTGATTGTTATTACTTCGAACATCAAATCTCATTTCAAATTGTTGCAATATCATTACGTTTGCTATTTCTCATTATCGTCATCATTATCACCGTTATTATTATTATTATTATTATATTAATATTGTGAATACAAAGTTTTAATTTGAAATCATCGGAATCGTTTCATTTACATCCCTTATGTCACAAGTTTCACAATTACAAGAAACTATTAAACTTCTTCGTGGAATATGCAGATAATTGTGACACTTTGAAGTGTGTGTTCGTGTAATTCGTGGATGAATTTTGAATGAAGCTAAGTGAATATATAAAAAATGTAGAAATGTAGCGCAATTGATAATTCGAGTATGAATAATGTATAGACGAGAAGCGATTCCAATTTAAAAAATATGCCATGCATACATACATATATTTTTTTTTTCTGTTCACATCTCGTCGGTGTGCATAATTAACTGGATGAAGATGAATGAATAATAGAGAAGGACGAGCGCCTTTTTCTATAATTGCTAATAAATGAATCATTTGAAAGGAGGTGGAGGATTATTATTGAAGATAAGATGTTATAAATAGGACATGCAGCATCGACAACGAGGATTGTTTGTAGAAGGTTGCTGCTGCTGCTACTGTTAAGATGGGAAAAAAATTGGATGAAAAGTCTGATATATACGATGCTATCAGCATACAGAGGAGGATGCTGCAGGTGACGGGGATCTGGCCGCAAAGGAATCGAAGCGTTTTCTATCGTTTCAGGCAGTGCGCGACTTGGTTCACAGATTGCCTCTTCTGCAGCCTTCTTTGCCTCGAGGTTCATGCGAACATCCGCGACGGACAGTACCGTCACCTCACGGAACTGCTCTCCTTCATGGCAAGCGAAGTGCCGTACGTCTTCAAGCACTTCTTCTTCTGGTGGAACTCGGAACGTTTCATCGAGACCGTCGAGAATTTGAAGCGAACGCATTTCGTCAACTATCCGATGTACTCGGATCGACACATCCGGTCGTCCATCAAGTACGCGCGAATGCTGATGCGCTGGTACCAGATGCTCGTCGCCAGTCTGGTGCTCATGTACCTGTTGAAACCGTTCTTCACCAACGATAAAATGGCCATCCGCTTTGACGTCATCGACTTTGGTCATTTCCGCATCCTCTTCCATCTGTACGAGGTGTACAGCGTGGGCACAGCGTGCTGGAACAACTCCAGTCTGGACATCCTCGCTCTGGGTCTCATCTCCATAGGCACCGCGCAGTTCTCGATACTGCGCGACAAACTGCTCAACATTCGTGAATGGGCGGGGCTCAGTTACGAAGAAGTCGATGCAGGAAAGAGGAGGAGCGATACGACAGATTCCGACACCGATTGGCACGTCAACGAGCGGCTCAAGGAGTGCGTCAAACATCATCTCAACATCATCCAGTAAAACTAGACTAAACAGCATATTAACATATTTTAATAAATTCATTAACAGATACTGCGCTGAAATCGAAAAAATCTACTGCTACTACTTCCTGGTGCAATTCTTCGATAGCGTCCTCGCCATCTGCAACACTTGGTTCCAATTCCAATTAGCCGAAGATCTGCTCAACGTTATATTCCTGATCTTTTACACGGCATCACTTCTCACTCAGCTGGGAATATATTGCCTATACGGAAACAATCTTATGTTGAAGGTCGATACTTGAGCATTCCCCTTGTTAATAATAATAATCATTATTATTATTATTGTATATCATTTTTAGAGCGAGGAAATCAAGGACGCCTGCTACATGTCGCAATGGTACAACTGCGATAACACGGCGCGAAAAACGCTGATGATCATAATGGAGCGCTCCAAGAGACCCACCGTTTTGACGGCAGGGAAATTTTCTATCCTCGGATTGGCAGCGTACAGCAACGTAAAACAAACAGAAATTCACCAACAACTACCAACCGTCACATTTAAATTTGTTTTTAGCTGCTCCAATCGTCTTACTCTTATTTCGCTCTGATGAATCGACTTTATGGTCAGTGATGATGAAGATGATGATGCACCGAAACTACACCACAAAATTGTTGTTACCTTGTAGTAAAAAAACAGAAAGAAAAAATAAATAAACTGCACATACAAAATAAATCCATTCAATAACATTAAATTTCGTTAGTATTTTGTTTGTTTGTTGTTGATGTTGTTGTTGTTGTTACAAAATGACTTTGACTTGTTTCGATTAATTTCGACTCGTTTCCGATGATGCAAGAGTCCGAGAATGCAAACTATCAGGCGGACGACGAAAGGAGTTTAACAACATCCTGCGACGACGACGAAGGGGAGGAGGAGGAGGAAGAAGAGGAAGTTGTCGATGATGATGGCGATGGGGAAGAGGATGAGTACGATTATGCTCTGGAGGAGGAAGATTTCGATGAGGAAACTCTGCAAGATCTCTTCGACAAGAACACAAAGTCGTTCATGTGTTTGGCTCAGATCCTGATCTCGCGCAGTTCACTCTTGAGGCACATCCTGTATCATTTCCCGCCGCTCGTCGATCCCGGCATAGATGAAGCCTTCAATTACGTGGGTAAAATGATCATTTTATACAAATATAAACAATAATAGTAATAATAATGGTGGTGGTGGTGGTGGTTAAAATTTAGAACCGGAGCCCACGTACGACGACATCGGGTGCGAAAAGTACAGGAACCTGTGCATCGAAATCAACATAGTGCCCATAACGCGCGTCCTCAGATCGCTTCCGACGGACACGCTGAACCTCAAGGTGATTCGAAAAAAGAATGCGAATGATGATGATGATAACAACGTTTTAACGTTTAAATTTCAAGTACTACGGATTGTCTTTCAATCAGACGAAAGCCATCTGCTCGACGATGATGATCAACAATCGCGTGGAGCACATGATCTTGGAAGACAACTGGATGACGCCGGACGCCGTCTTCTGGATCGGGGAAATGCTGAGGGAGAATAACAAAGTGAAGATATTGAATATGCGAGAATGCCGGATCGGACCAGAAGGTGAGGAGATTAAGTGAAGAAACATAATATTAATGATGATGATGCAGGTATTTACAACATCATGGAGGGATTGAGTCTGAATCAGTGTCTGCGCGAATTAGATCTGAGTTTCAACAGTCTAGGCGATGAGGGCGTTCTGAATTTGCTGGAGGCGATGAAGGAGAATCAGCTGATACAGAAGCTGAATCTGAGCCACAATAATTTGGGTGTTGGAACTGGGAAGAATCTGGGCAAATATTTAGCGTCGAACACGACCATGGATTTCCTGGATCTATCCTGGAACGATCTGTACCCCGTTGCAGGTGAGTACAATTACAATTACAGGATGTACGTGTATTTCTTCAAAGGCAAGACGAACTTGCTTTCTATTTCTCAAAGCTTTGAAGCCACTCTGCTTGGGTTTATCGGAAAACACGTCCATCAAGTATCTGAATTTGGCGTGGAACGCTATCGGCATTCCGGATGCCGTCGTCGAAATCCTCCGATACTTGAAAGCCACCACCGTCTTGGAGCATCTGGACTTGAGCAACAACAGGTCCGTTGTTGCGAAACGGACTCGCAACAGGACGGGTCGCAATAGTAAAGATCGTTTGGTTCGTTTTGCTGCAGATTGATGGAAGTTTGCTGGAGGATGATCAGAGCAGGAATCGTCGGAAACACGTCGCTGCAGAGCATCAATCTGGGCTTCAATCTGATGACGCCCGAAGAGGCCATCTTCATGGTGCAAGCGTTCACGATGGAGGATCTCCGGCTGGAGTACATGGACCTGGAGAATGTATTCGTCAAGCGCAATTTCCGACCGGCAGGTAACATTATCATTTCGCATTGCCGAATTCTCTATAGCATTTGAATCGACATCGTGCAGCTGTGGAGACGCGTCACCAAGATGGGAAAGAACGTGCGCATCCAGGGTTTCCTCAGCGACTACCGCATCGCCGGCCCCAAAATCGACAAGGTCTACTTCGACCGGTGCAAGTTTCTGTCGCAGAAGCCGAAACGCAAGAAGCAGAAAAAGAACTTTGGCTGGTTCATACAGTCGCTAGCCGATGAACCGTTGGACAAGAAGAAGTTCCGCAGGGCGGTGCGCAAGTTCAAGCTGAAGTTCGACAAGGGTCTGATCGAGGGACTGCAGAAGAGATTCACGCTGAAAGGTGATTTCATGAACATCGAACGCATGAAAAAATCCTTCATGGAGCTGTACCCGGACACCGAACCGCTTCCGCCCAAGAAGAAGAAGAAACGGAAACGGAAGAAAAAGAATAAGAAGGGCGGAGGCAGCGGAAGCGAATCTAGTTAGTAGAGTATACAGTACTACTACTACAGTTTCATTTGATTTGCAATTTGCATTTGTTCTGTGCAGCAACGGCCACCTCGATGACAACACCCACGGAGGACAAGGGCACGGAGACCTCGAGGACGACGTCCAGGAGCGGCACAGAACCGCCCACCGATACCGAACCCATAACGACGACGACGATCACCAACACCGCGTCTGCGACCACGGCGACGAGGCCGTCCATACTGAAGAGGACTTCTCAGATGACCTCCAGCAAGGCTCGTATCTCCGCATCACCATCCACCAACGCAGAAGTGCAGAGGACTGCTTCCAAGGCAAGCGTTAAAGCAGCAGTTGACAGTAAAACCGCTGTCGCTACTCCTTCAAATGTTGCTGCCGCACCCGCTACCGTCGATGCTGATGTTCCGGGAGAAGCAAAGAAACAATCTGCGACTCCGTCACGCATGTCTCTGCGCCAAAGCATGAAATCGACGAAAAGCAACACGGTCATCATCAAAGAACCAGCGGAGGAGGAAAAGGCACAGTAAATCTCCGCAAACAAATTAGCGCGTATTTTTTTTAATGATAATAATAAAATAGTAAAGAGAGAAGAAATAATTAAAGAGGAAATAAATACGTATCACATTAATAAAGCTTAATCGAGCGTGAATATCCTGACGGCAATGTCATTGATCAGCCAGTCTATGCCCTTCAGAAGATTCTCCCCAGTGACGGCGCTGCACCACACAATCTGCCAGTGGTGAGTTTTGATCAAATTCAATTCGAGTATCTGAAAATAAATCCAATAAGAAATGAAAGATCTTTTCTCTTTTCTGATTAAATTAAATGAACTACTCACTTCTTGCAATTCCTCTGCAGAGCATGCACCAGGCAAGTCCTGTTTATTGGCAAAAATCAAAAGAGTTGCACCTGCCAACCTCTACGAAAGACATGTACGATTATTATTGGTTTAATTGCTGCATTCACACCACTGTACGTACCTCTTCCAAGAGCAACTTGTGCAGTTCATTCTTGCAGTCCTGCATACGTCTTCTGTCGGCGCTGTCCACCACCCAGATCAGACCGTCTGTGCACTCAAAGTAGTTGCGCCAATAGGAACGTAACGACTTCTGTCCGCCCACGTCCCACATGTTCAGCTTGAAGTTCCTGTGCTCCAGCGTTTTAATGTTGAAGCCGAGCGTCGGTGAAATCGTGTCGATATCCTCGCCGTTGAATCTCTTCAGGATCGTCGTCTTACCGGCATTATCCAAACCCCTTGCAACACACACGACGAAATTGTAAAATATTACCACCAATAATAAACCAAATTGAAAACCAACAATATCAGAATCCTCATTTCCTTCTCTTTCTGCTTCATCTTCCTCAAAACCGACAGAAATCCCATTGTTTATATTCTATTACAATTGTATTGTATTAAAGAACAGAACAGAAGGTGTAAATCGAAACACATTCATCCAACTGACAGATAAAGAAAAACAAATATACCAACATTGCCATTTAGCAGCGCTGCCACCACACATAAAATCTAATATTTGAAAAGTTTTAGTTTTGAACTAATTTTTAATACAAAATTTAATTGAACATCATTATAATATTTAATGGGAGAGGAATAAATGCATAATATTTTTATACTTTATATTATTCTTTCTATATGGATTGCGTGGAAAGTGAAAGGAACCAATGCCAAGAAACTACTTTTAATTAATAAAGTTAATGCAATATGAAGTTAGAGCAATTGTTTTAATTTTGCAATAAAAATGTATTGGTATCAATCACGTCCGTCCGCCATTTTGTAAGCGTTCAAATTTGTAATTAATTAACGCGAATTTCTCAAATTACTATATCAAAATACATAATCAAGGAAACGTTAATCGATTGAATAGAAATTCAAGTGACTTATAAACCACTGGAAAAACTTCTTCATGTTAATGCATCATTCGAGTTTAAATTGTGCATGCAACTCACTAGCAACTAATCGATTAGGCAGTTTTCGAACATTGATAATTCCTTCGAAAAGATAAATATTTAATTTCAGACGTAATGCGTAAATTGGTGCGCTTTATCTAGTTCAGGAATTTGAAATTCAAATTAGTCAAAAAACAAATAATTATGTGTGCATGTGTGTTGTTGATAATGTTATTTTCGAAACAGAGCTATATTATCTATAATTCAAGAGAGGAGAAGAAGTAGAAGTAGAAGAAGGAAACGATAAATGGTGCAATTAACCCCAAGTAGTCTTGGTGATAATTTGTTTGTTCTTTCTTTGTGTACGCCCGACGATGGTCCCAAGAACAGTTACGTTTTTAATATTATACCTGTCTTTTTTTTTGTTGTCTGTCCGTAGTATAAATTTTCAAAGCCATTAGCGGAGATAACGAGCGACAATAATCTACAAACCTTAATAAAAGGAGGCGACGCTCACGATGGTCACGGGAGTACGGATCGAAGAGCGACGATGTGGAAACGTGCGACGACAACTGCCATCTGCATTCTTCTTCTTCTGATGGTCAACGATGCTTCTTCTAAGGCGGCATCCCCTAGGACAAAACGAAGAGGTAAATTAGTTAAATAAATGGTGATGATGATAAACTTACGTGTTTTGCAGTTCATCTTCCCTACTTTGGTTTGGGACCCTACTGCACCGGTTGTCCTCCGCACTTTTGCGACGATGATCCAGCCATCGTTCTCGGCTATTGCTGTGGATGCGCCGCATTTTACGGTACGTACATTTAGTTATAATTTAGAAAAAAAAGTTCAAATGTCCTGCAAATGCTCTCTGTTTGAGAGAGAGAGAGAGTACAACGCCCTCGTTGCAGAGGACGGAACGCGCTCAAACCAATCACATTCAAACAATTGAAATTTGAAATATTTTTGTATCAGATTCGCTGCCCGTCGTCTGTCCGTCCTTTTTGAATTGTCCGTTGAACGGGAAACAATTGTGCCAGGACTACGAGTACATGCTGCACTGCTGCTGCGAATCCCCAACTTAACACAACAGCAGCAACAACAGCAAACTGCCAATGTATAAATAAATAGTGATAAAATAAAGTAATATAATGTTGATGATGATGTTTTCTTGTCAATTCCGACATTGTCGGAAGAAGAGTCGGGAGCGATTGTTCTGTTGGAATTGCTGTTGTTGCGCAATGCACAATGTTTAATCGCAAATTGTGCAATCAATTTGCGTTTTTACGTAAGGACGAAAACAAACAATAATACACGACACGGCAATTTGATGACAATGAACGAAACAGATCTGACATGTCCTTTTGGAAATTGCCCCGCGCAATTCTTCTCAATTGGACGTTATTAATTAACTGTGAATGCGAACGCGCAAACAACGAACACACAACTCTAACGATGGACATTATTATCTTCATTACTGAAACGAGTTGTAGATTTTTTTTATTATCATTAACGAATTACCGATGACCATCGTCTTTTGTTTTGTTTGTTTGTAACTAGGGGAAACGCGGTTGCGACGGACTCCGGAGTAAACTGCAGGTTGATTGTAGGTAACCATGGAGACTGATGCGGACACGGGCAGTGGCGAGCGGATTTGGCGGGAAGAAGAGTAGAAAACTAACAACAAAAAAAAGAAGTGCGAAAATAGACAGCGACAACAAAACGAACCGATCGAAGAAGGTAATAAAAAGAGTAGGTAATAAATCCAATCTATTTGTGAAGCGGTGCCGTGAGGTGCGAGCGTATGCGAGTTGCAACAGCAAGGATGCGTGTGCGTTTGTGTTCATACACGTAGAGCGTGTGTGTAAATGCGAGTTTGCGCTCTTCGATTGTATATGTATGTATGTACTGACTGGATAATGGAAAAAAAAAGGGGAATTTCGGTTCGCCCCAAAGAAAGTGAAGCCGTCCGACAATATTCATTAGAATGCGTACGTTCCTCGGGTAGCGTCGTTATTCGTCTTGCAACGGTTCCGCGCAACAATATCGAATATTAACTGCGAATAAATGAAGAGCGCGGTTTTTCGGGTGTGCGTGTCTTTGTGAAATATTCTTGAAACAAAAATAAAAATAATAAATAAACACAATCTAACATCGCACGGCAAGGCCGTCGCTATTCTTGGGATCTCGGAATTGTTTCGAAAATTTGAACAATTTTCCATCATCATCATCATCACCATCATCGTCGTAACATTACCATCAATAATCATTATTATTATTATTAATGATAATAATAAATAGAATTGGGTATCATCGTTACGTGTTACATCGACAGTCGCCGTCGATCACCACACCGATGATGTATGCATAATAACCCAATTGCGTTTCTTGTCACATCGGACGTAACTGTTCATTGCTTCCTCCCCGTGTACTTCCATTGTTTTCCTTTTTCTTTTCTTCGACATTCCAAAGACGACTTTGATCATCTATTATATCCTATACGCTTTGGACGCATTACACAGGCATAACAGAATAGACACAGGGAGGAATAGAGTGAAGATGTCTTGCAGAAGCGTTCGAATGCAGCAGTTGTAGTTGTGCTTTTGTTTCTACGGATATACCCCGCAAATGTTGTGGTGCACGGGTATTGCGCTGGTCGCGATCCTCTTTCACCTCCTCGATGGATCACACCTGGCCATCTCCTCTCCGACAGACGTCGCCGACGCCGCCTCCGACTCCAGACTTCGCTACGAGGAGTACGTGATCGAGCACGAAATTTCTGCGACGCAAGCGAAGAACTCGGTGCTACATATGACATTGGACACAAGCAGTAAGTTGGTCACTACTATTCCCTTATTTCACCACTAAAAATAATAAGAATAATTAGTTAATCTGAATGTGCGAAAAATGTTATCGTTTCAAACATTTCTATTATTTAATAAAGCGTGCACCTGTTATTCGCTAAAATGTACTCGTGGAAAGTACGTGAGAATAGAAAATCATAGGCTGCAGGAAACGGTGACATATCCTGCAGGAAAACCCGATTTCGGAATAAACCAAATTCACATCGAGAGAGTTCAAAGGGCCCGTCCGCCCGGCAAGTCCCGGTATGGTGCAAACTCTTTCGGTCGCTTCCTTCCTTCCTTCCCAGAAACTACAGGAAACGAATTATATTTTCATTACAATTCCGAATTTCGTATATTTCAAACTGCAATTAGTGCAACGTTCACTTGACTGCAACTATTATTTGCTCGTTTAAAACTAATCGCATTGTTAATGAATATATTGCTGCGAGCCTGAAATGCATTTTTTTGCAAACGTAATATCGCGATTGTTTATTGTCGCTATTACATGCAAATGCCATCAACCTTTGGCACTTCTTTTCCCCCCGATGACCCGACATCGTCATCGTCATCGTCGTCGTCGTTGTTGTTGTTGTGCGGGGGGTAATTATAGAGAATCGATGCCACGTTATTTATAGACGTTTGGAAAGAAGGTGATGAAGAAGAAAAAAAAAGAGAGTGTAATAAAGTATTCAACGGTGGAAATCATCGGTTAATGCCCTTCCTTCGAGATCGGTGGAGGGCGGGAATGAATCATACACACACATCATACGTGCGATGTGTGCTTAATTTTGCGTAGGGAAGGAGCCGAAGGAAAAATCGATGAAACAACACTCAAGAGGGGGAGGGACTGTGCCATGTGTACGTACATGTTTTTTATTTAATATTGGTGAAATCATAGGAATTCCACGATTAGCGGAGAACCAATTAAAACCGCATTATTGTCGACCAAGGCCGGACGGACGACCGCAAACTTCGAAATAACTAAAACAAATATAGTTCTGATTGTCTCTTCTTCACGATACGAAACTGCACAGTTTTGAAAGTCGTGTAAAATGACTATATTTCAATAGATATCGATGGAAATTTCGCCTTTTTTTTGTATTGTTTATCTTCGCGTGAAAAAGATCGAAGAGTGTGTCTGTTAATTCACCGTGGCCTTAATTAAGGTTGACCCGACGCATGTGTCGGAGAGCAAGTTTGAGTGTGTCAATTAAAAGTATTTGAGATAATGGATAAAGAAGAGTGCGGCGAGTTTACGCGGGGAGGGTTGGAATGGTTGGTTGGATTGAATGACGACGAGGA